TGATTCTCCTCATATTAAATCCTAACTTTTTTTTTATTTTATTGAAATGAATTATTTTAATATCAGCCATACAATCCAGCTTTGTTTTTTTAAAATAGCTTAGCACCTATTTAAATTAAAGCTTTGTGCCACCCCATTGCTTGTGAATTGTGAGGAAAAAAAAACCCTTCGCCTTCAAAGAAAAGATAAACGACAATGCTTAAATTTGGATGTATGAAGAAACATTTGCGAGTGGATGTGATAAAAATGTTTGATAAATCTAATATTGCGATTCCAACTTATTGTAAACCTGTGACTAATTTAATTTTATGGAAAAAAAACTTAGAGAGGTAGTTTAAAATTTAATATTAATTGTAGTCGGAACAATTTATATTATGATATTGGTGGGGTGTGTCGATTTTCTGCTCCTGTTGTGGTTGTTACATCTCTTTGTGCTGAAGCAGAAGCTGTATTTATGGCCCTCTTCTTAGGCGTTAAATGTGATTGGTCTTACATTGAGATTGAAATGGATTCTATGGAACTTTGGAACTATTGTACTAAAGAAATAGTATCATTGATTTCTTATTATTTCTATGAAAAAAAATCTTTGCTTTCCTCAAGTTATTGCTGGTTCGTTGGATTTTTATTCATCGAGAAGGGAATCGGTGCGCTAACTGGGCAGCTAAAAGAGAAGGTGACTCAAGAATTCAATTTTTCTGTTAGGATTCCACTAGAGTTAGCTCATCTGATTAAGGGTGATTCTTCAAATATTCATTATATTCGTATTGATAATGATTTTTTCAGGTTTTTATCGTACGAATTGTAGGTGTTTTTCGGTTCTTTAGTTTTTTATTTTTTTTGCTTGAGTTGTTTGGGTGGTGGTGTCTTTTTTGGTCGCTGCCTCCTATTTTTTATTTTTGTTGAATAAAATTTCCTCCGGGATTAGTTTAAAAAAAAAGACATGGGAACAAAGGCTGAAGAGACAAGACAAAACTAAATTTATTATACCATTTTTTACATAAATACAGAACATTACAAGTCTATTTAGATAGCCAACACAGTGGCATGCTTGTAAAACTAACCGCGGGTAAATGCAGAGGGAGCCTAGCCTGGAAGATTATAACGAGGAGCACCATTCAAAACCAATTCATTTTTCCTCAACCCAAAAAAACATAGTTTCAAAACCAATTCATTTGCAATGAAGTTCCCCTTTCCCGTATTTCCTCTCTTTCTCTGTTTTCTTCTTCCTGCATGTTTCCTGGCATCCTTGTGCTGAAGTTTCACAAAGCAAGAAAATAACAACAATAAAGAGAGCAAAAAACGTCTTTGGCTCAAAAATGAAAAATAAAAATAAAAATTTAAGGCATTTTTTTCTAGCTTTCTTAAGAAAGAAAGTATTTGCTGCAAGGAAATAAGCAATAGAAAATGAAATTTGCATTACTTACTTTTTTTAAAGAATGGCAGCGAACAACACGATCCAGTGTTGCCCTCTTCAGTCCATCATCACCAAAGGGAAGCACAATTGCGCGACGTTGCCAGCCGACTCTCCGTTGTAACAGAGTGTTGTATATGTAAACAATGAGGTTAGGAGGCTGTGAAATATGTAAATTCCATTGTTTTATGTGCTGTACAAATCAGGGTGTGCTAGGCATGACTCATAATACCAGAATTTTCAGCGGCGCATGAAGCAACAGGGTGGCTCCGTAGAGATATAAATTCCAGAAATATGAGAAATCTTGTGCCAATCAGAGCCTACAAGCCTTTGATAGCGCTTCTTAAACTCTGGTTGACAACCGTAGACTGAGAGTGTTTCCAAGGAGGTAGGGAGGTGCTGTAATTCCTGGAGCAGAGGAACGTTCAGAATGAAAAGCCTTCGGAGAGAAGGAAGGTTAGAGAGGCAAGACGGCAAGCAATCCAGCTTCTCAAGATCATGCAGAGACAGCCTATACAAAGAGGAAGGAAGGTCTGGCAGATTTCGGAGTGGAATCATTCCTAAGTAGAGATGCTTGAGAGAAGAGTGCGACAAAGGCTGTAAGCACTGCAATGATTCGAGGGAGATAAGATATAAATTTTCTAGAGAGTTATGTAAGTAGAGATGATTGAGAGAAGAATACGACAAAGGCTGTAAGCACCGCAATGATTCGAGGGAGATAAGATATAAATTTTCTAGAGAGATGGGGATGGCCGGTAATAGCTTTAGCTGAGGAACCTCATGCACATATAGACACTTGAGTGAAGAGAGGCCTGACAAGATGGTAGGAAGGGACTGCAGGGATTTGAGCCTTTTAAATTTCAGCTCACGAAGGGAGGAGCTAACTTGAAGAAACCATTGTTCTGCCTCAACTGGAAATGAAACCAGCTCATTATTATCCTTAATTATCAGATTTTGAATGGAGGCAAGACTTCTCAATGGCACCATTTGCAACCAGGATATATTGCTTATAACGAGTTTATTGATTATGAGCTGATGATTCTCATTGGCCTGCACTTCTTGCAGTCCTCTTAGAGAGACGAGATTGCGGCAATCTACAATTGTCAACTTTCTAAGACTAGTAAAACTAACAGAGGGTAAATGCAGAGGTACCCTAGCCTGGAAGATTAGAACGAGGAGCAACAAACGCAGAGGAAAGGAATACAACAAAAAGTAAATATAATGTAGTAATAAAAGAAATACCACAATCAATTCATTTGCAATGAAGTTCCCCTTTCCCGTATTTGCTCTCTTTCTCTGTTGCTCTCTTTCTCTGTTTTCTTCTCTGTTTTCTTCTTCCTGCAGGTTTCCTGGCATCCTTGTGCTGAAGTTTCACAAAGCAAGAAATAATAATAAAGAGAACAAAAAAAGTCTTTGGCTCAAAAATGGAAAATAAAAATAAAAATTTAAAGCATTTTCTCTAACTTTCATGGGGAAGAAATTATTTGCTGCAAGGAAATAAGCAAAAGATAATGAAATTTGCATTACTTACTTATTTAAAGAATGGCAGCGAGCAACACAATCATGTGTTGCCCTCTTCTGTCCATCATCAAAGGGAAGCACAATTGAGCGAAGTTGCCAGCCGACTTGGCGTTGTAACAGAGTGTTGTATATGTAAACAATGAGGTTAGGAGGCTGTGAAATATGTAAATTCCATTGTTTTATGTGCTGTACAAATCAGGGTGTGTTAGGTATGACTCATAATACCAGAATTTTCAGCGGTGTATGAAGAAACAGGGTGGCTCCGTAGAAATATAAATTCCAGAAATATGAGAAATCTTGTGCCAATCAGAGCCTACAAGCCTTTGATAGCGCTTCTTAAACTCCGGTTGACAACGGAAGACTGAGAGTGTTTCCAAGGAGGTAGGGAGGTGCTGGAATTCCTGGAGCAGAGGAACGTTCAGAATGAAAAGCCTTCGGAGAGAAGGAAGGTTAGAGAGGCAAGACGGCAAGCAATCCAGCTTCTCAAGATTATACAGAAGCAGTTCATACAAAGAGGAAGGAAGTTCTGGTAGATTTCGGAGTGGAATCAAACTTAAGTAGAGATGCTTGAGAGAAGAGTACGACAAAGGCTGTAAGCACTGCAATGATTCGAGGGAGATAAGATATAAATTTTCTAGAGAGATGGGGATGGCCGGTAATAGCTTGAGCTGAGGAACCTCATGCACATATAGACTCTTGAGTGAAGAGAGGCTTGACAAGATGGTAGGAAGGGACTGCAGGGACTTGAGCCTTTTAAATTTCAGCTCGCGAAGGGAGGAGCTAACTTGAAGAAACCATTGTTCTGCCTCAACTGGAAATGAAACCAGCTCATTATTATCCTTAATTTTCAGATTTTGAAGGGAGGCGAGACTTCTCAACGGCACCATTTGCAACCAGGATAGATTGCTTATAACGAGTTTTTTGAGTATGAGCTGATGATTCTCATTGGCCTCCACTTCTTGCAGTCCTCTTAGAGAGATGAGATTGCGGCAATCCACAATTGTCAACTTTCTAAGTGCTGCAAGTCTCGCTGTTTCTTCAGCCAGTGGAAGAGATCTAATGTTGGGGCAGCGAAAGACTTTTAATTTTTCAAGGGGAATGGATTTTGAAGTGCTGCAACTGTTGCCAGTGCCACGTTGCCAGTTCAGAGCTTTCCACCCAATGTTATCTATCTTCAATATCTTGAGCATAGGAGGCAAAGAGGGCAACTCTTGCAAATTTGGGCAATCTTTTAGATACAATTCAGTCAAGCAAGGAAACAGACAATCATATATTGTTGCTGCAGCATCAAACCAAACCTCCATTGCTTCCAATTTCTCAATACGTAGCACACCTAATGATGGAAAGACACAATCCTCATCATTCCCATAGAATTTAGTACCGAATCGTTTTATTTTTGGCATGTTATGAAGATACAGAAACTTGAGGAAGGGAAGCTGCCCAAAAGGTGGAAGAGTTTCCCACTCCAAACACTCACCCAGTTGGATGCGCTCTAGATTGGAGATCAAATGGGCCTTGTTCATCCATATTGCAGACCTGGCACCCATGTATGCATTTATACTCAAATTCTTTAGGGTGTTATGGGGTTGAAGGTTGTCCAGTACCTTCTCATCTAAGTTGGGATCAAAAACTTTACGCTCTATACCAAAGTGAGGAGCATCACCCCATTCCAAGCACAAATCCGTAAGGTTTTTTTTATCACATAATTTAGCACTGCAAGCCTCTTTTGGTTCCTTCACATTTTCCACGTGTTTGATTCTTAATTGATGAAGTTTATTCATATACTCCAGCTCCCCAATTCTATAACCTTCCTCTTTCTTAACATAAAATCCATCGAGTTCTTCAAGTGAGTTTAACTTACCAATCCCATACAACCCAGGGAAGTGATCCCAGGGTAATTGCAGATAATGAAGATTAAAAAGGTTGTTCATATCCCTTGGTAAGAAATCATGAGAAAGAATAATTCTTGGAAAAAAATCACAGACTATGAATTGCAATTGATAAAGACTACTTAAAGATCTTGGCAGCCCAGGAGATTACATTCAAGCCTTAAGTATCGAAGGTGTATCAAATATTTAATTGCCTCGGGCATCATTTTCAAGTATCACTTTCAAGACTCCAGCATCTATATATAACAAACGTATGCTTCTTGATGCTTTGAAGATTTCACCGAGTATACACAAAAAATCTTGATCATCTACTAAGTAAGTCAAATGAAGTGAACGTAATTTTCTAAATTTTGTCACCATTCTAAGCACATCTAAATTTTTAGTTTCAACAGATAAGTGTCGAATACTCTCAGGAAGAATTGTAGAAAGTAACTTTTCATCACCCATAACTCTAAAACACTCCTGTGCAGAAATAGATTGTGCCAATTCATGTAATAAATCATGCATGGTATAATATTGGCCAAATTTAGTCTGAAAAAAAGATTTTTGTAGCAAAACCTCGAAATACTTTCTTCCAATATCCTCCATACTTTCTCCTCCTCGAACATTAGATGTATGAATGAAACTCAAAGCAATCCACATTCGGACTAAATCATCTTTATCAAAAAAATGATCTGCTGCAAATATGCCACAAAATGAGAAACAATTTTGTAGAGGCTTTGGTAGAAACATATAGCTCAATCTTCAGATTGGAAATATATCATTTCTGCCCATTTCTCCATTTCCAATATCACTATTTAAAACTTTCATCCAATGCCTTTCATTCAAGTTAGAATTCAAAACACCACCCATGACCTTTGCTGCTAACGGAGATCCATGAACCTTTTTTACAATCTCAACTGCTATGGATCTTAATTTAGGATGATGAACATCAGGATTCTCTACATTAGCAAAAGCATGATTGTTGAGGAGATGTAAACAGGCATCCTCCTCCAAGCCCTCCAATCTAAATGTTTCCTTCTTCTTATTAATCACCTTTGCAATCATCAATGCAACAGAATCCATCCGAGTTGTTGTCAAAATCTTACTTCCCAAACTTCCATAAGTCAGAGGAGCGAGCACATTCTCCCATTTGCTTTTATCCTGCTCCTCTGACTCCTCCCAAATGTCATCCAGCACAAGTAAGAACTTCTTGGCAATCACCTCAGATTTAAGACTTCTTTGAAGTGACTCCTCCCAAATGTCATCAAGCACAAGTAAGAACTTCTTGGCAATCACCTCAGATTTAAGACTTCTTTGAAGTGCCTCAAGTGACTCCAAATCAGGCTTCTTCATTTTAAGACATTCCAGCATATCTCTAATAACTTTTTTCACATCAAAGTTATTGGAAACGCAAACCCACATTTTAAGATTAAATTCCCTTGTGATTTCATCTTCATAGACATGTTGCAAGAGAGTTGTCTTCCCCATACCACCATGACCCACTATAGAGAGAAGAGAAATGTTGCTCCCGTACGAAGTAGTGCTAGTACTAAGAGTCTCATTTTCATTTGATGGCTTCCTCAACCACTGCATAACAAATTCCTTTTCTTTAACTCGACCAATAAGATCATTTTTAGGCAAGGATCCCGTTTCACGTGTTTTGTACAAATCAATCAACTGCTCCTGTTGCTCCTGCTTTGTGCTTTCTAAAAGATGAAGAAAATTGCCAACATCAGCTGATACTCTATCAAGCTTCTTCACAACCTCCTCCAGTTTTTTCAATAAGGGATCAATTTGGAGAGCACGTTTACCAATTTTAACAATTCCTTTCTTCATGGAGCTCATGGCAGAACGCAGCTTTGTTTGCTCCTTGTTTTCGTTCAGCTGATTTTCATGCTTCATGTACTCAAACTCATCGAGCACATCATCTGCTTCATCTATGGCATCCCGTAGCTGCCACAGCCATTTGTTCAAATCCGAGTTTTTGTCTGTGATCTGTGCTTGGCTGGAAGCAAGGACCACGGCTTGGATCTTGGGGTAGTTCTCTCGCAACCTTTCCAGCTCCTCCTTCATGCCTGTCTGCCATCTGGCTTGACGTTTCAAGTACTCAAAGCCAGTGCTGATGAGCTTCTCCATGATTGGACCACCAAACCATTCTTCCATGGAACCGATCAAGGCAGAGCAGAACTGAACAAGAGAAAAAGAGTAAAATTCCCCCCACAAGTTTAAGGCGTGTTAGATATGCGTAATTATAATTGGGAGATTTTTACATAGCATAAATTCCTATATTTTGTGTGCGATGTATGTAAATCCCCATTGAAGTGTTGAAATCACCCGAACAACTAACCTTCCAATGCGATTTGCGAAATCCAGAGACTTAAAGAGTAGTCAGATCTACAGAAATTTCACTCAGCCTTCCTCGTAGAGCTCCAGTCGGCGCCGATCGAGTTTCCGCCGGACATCCGTCGGCCGTCGGTTTCCAGCAAGTACCCTTCGTCTTCCGAACTATGCTCCGAGTTCGTCACCGCTTTCGTGGTCTCCTCGTCGAGGCAGCACTGGGTGTAAACGAGCCGAACAGGAGCGAGCCAACCTCAGCTCGTGTCTGGCTCGTTTATATTTCAAGCTCAAAAAGTGTGTTTATGTGCGGCTCGTTTATTGAAACATCATTTGAATCTAGTTTAATAATTTTTATTATATTTTCTTAATCAATATTTTAATTGGTTATAAATATTTGTAGCCTTGTAGTTAATTAGACTTTTTTAAAATACTGCTTAATATATATATAAATATAAACTTGATGAGTAGTATATAGAGCCAAAACGAGCCGAACACGAACGAGCACATCTTAGTTCGTGTTCGGCTTGTTAACTTATCGAATGAAATTAACGAGCCGAACACGAGCTTCTTAACTAGCCGAACACGAACTGTTCGCGAACAACTAGCTGTTTTGACTGCCCTAGGCAGCAGATGAAAAACAGGCTTTCGCCATGATCATGCTTTTAGACAAAGTCTACCAGAATATTGTAATATTATCTATTGAGTCCCACTCTTTGCGGACTAAGCCTACAATTATGGGTGTAAACGTGGTGAATCCTAGCGTGCTTGAGTTCACCTCATATTTGGATCCTTAAAAAATATAATTGTTCGTGTTTATTTTGTTTATATTCAGACACAAAAAATTAATCTTATTTGGCACATTTATTTAGTGAACGATTCAAACATGAGCTACTTAAAGAGCAGAAAACGAGTTGTTCTCGAACAACGAACCTTTTAGACAACTCTACCTACAACAATTTTTTATATTATCATACACATATTTTTATACGGATAAATTATTCCATATCGAAGCATGTGCTGTCCGATTCCGACCGTCGATCACAGCAAAATTGTATTCTAGTGGGCCCCATTTAAAATAAAAAAAAATAAAAAAAATTTATTCGACGGCCGAGATCGAACAGCGCATGCATTTCTGTACATAATAATATGTGTATGATAATATAAAAAATTTTATCATAAAAATTTATTCGATGCAGAAATGCATGCGCTGTTCGTATGAAATAATTTTTCTTTTTGTACGTGTAGCTTATATGAATATAGACTCTGTACATAATAATTTTTCTTGTTGAAGGGATCATTCAATGCCATGACTCAATTTTACATGGATTTCTTTATATGTTTATGTTTTTAATATTATAAAAAATGAGGTTTTAAATTGTACAAATTTTCAAGGGATCCTTATTATTGGAGAAACAAAAATTATTGATTTTTTTTTTTTTTGCATTAAGTAGTTAATGCTTTATAATTTGATTAAGTAAATTATTTTAATAACCTAAATTTTATATATAATATTTTAGTCCTTTTTTTATCCTCCTAAACTCAATCATGATGTTTTAAGTGATTTTTTTTTTGTGATTAAAAATATTATATTTAAAATTTAATCAGTTAAAATTATATATTTGATATTTTGATATTTGGTATGTAAAAAACTTTTTTGGTTTAATAATAGTCTCTCCAAGAAATTTAATTTATTTTTCATTAAATTATAGCTTTACCTTTTTTGGGTAGGAAGCGAAAGGGAATTTACAAAATAATCGCATTTTTAATTTCATGTACAATGAATGTGGCGTGCGAAAACATTGCGGAAACGAGGAAATTCACACAGCAAAAATCAAACACAATAGATTTATGTGATTTGTTGTTGAATTGATTCGCCTATATCCACGAAAAGAAAGAATCCATACGAACATAAGTTCCTTACGAATGCCAATTTTTTCGAGCTTTCTTCTCCTTGAGAATCTCCATGCCAAGAATTTTTTGAGCTTCACCCAACTTTTTCATTTTTAAATATTTAAAAAATTGGTTGTTCATCCTATCAACTTCAATTTGATTGACATATGTAATTCACATTTTATCATCATACAAAAGCAAGTAAATGAACTCATCATTGGCCAACTTCTATACTAGCTCTTCGTGTACTCTTGTCCCCTCATGAATTGATTAATTTTTATACACCATTGTTATGGTGATTGCTTCAACCCATACAAAAACTTGTTCAGTTTGCAAACTAACTATTTTGATGCTCCATATCTAGGTGGTTGCAATATGTAGGTCTCCTCTTATAATTACATGTGTAGAAATGTAGTCTTCATATTGGAAAAAATTTTGCGTGCAGACGAGATAGATGCGGATTAGGTGCAGATTTGTAGTATTGTAGTGGTATTATTTTCCAATATCACCACAATACCACATGACTACCCCCAATCCACAACTACGGTTTACGTACGCAATATTTCCTCCACATTGAGCTGTTTAGCTGTTTTGACTGCCCTAGGCAGCAGATGAAAAACAGGCTTTCGCCATGATCATGCTTTTAGACAAAGTCTACCAGAATATTGTAATATTATCTATTGAGTCCCACTCTTTGCGGACTAAGCCTACAATTATGGGTGTAAACGTGGTGAATCCTAGCGTGCTTGAGTTCACCTCATATTTGGATCCTTAAAAAATATAATTGTTCGTGTTTATTTTGTTTATATTCAGACACAAAAAATTATTCTTATTTGGCTCATTTATTTAGTGAACGATTCAAATATGAGCTACTTAAAGAGCAGAAAACGAGCTGTTCTCGAACAACGAACCTTTTAGACAACTCTACCTACAACAATTTTTTATATTATCATACACATATTATTATACGGATAAATTATTTTATATCGATGCATGCGCTGTCCGATCCTGACTGTCGATCGCAGCAAAACTGTATTCTAGTAGGCCCCATTTAAAATAAAAAAAAACAAAAAATTTTTATTTGACGGCCGAGATCGAACAACGCTGCATGCGCTGTTCGTATGGAATAATTTTTCTTTTTGTACGTGTAGCTTATATGAATATAGACTCCTTACATAATAATTTTTCTTGTTGAAGGGATCATTCAATGCCATGGCTCAATTTTACATGTATTTCTTTATATGTTTATGTTTTTAATATTATAAAAAATGATGTTTTAAATTGTACAAATTTTCAAGGGAGTGTAATATTTATCCTTATTTTTGGAGAAACAAAAATTATTGATTTTTTTTTTTTGCATTAAGTAGTTAATGCTTTATAATTTGATTAAGTAAATTATTTTAATAACCTAAATTTTATATATAATATTTTAGTCCTTTTTTTATCCTCCTAAACTCAATCATGATGTTTTAAGTGATTTTTTTTTTGTGATTAAAAATATTATATTTAAAATTTAATCAGTTAAAATTATATATTTGATATTTTGATATTTGGTATGTAAAAAACTTTTTTGGTTTAATAATAGTCTCTCCAAGAAATTTAATTTATTTTTCATTAAATTATAGCTTTACCTTTTACCTTTTTTTGGGTAGGAAACGAAAGGGAATTTACAAAATAATCGCATTTTTAACTTCATGTACAATGAATGCGGCGTTTTCTTTATGCGAAAATATTGCGGAAACGAGGAAATTCACACAACAAAAATCAAACACAATAGATTTATGTGGTTTGTTGTTGAATTGATTCGCCTATATCCACGAAAAGAAAGAATCCATACGAACATAAGTTCCTTACGAATGCCAATTTTTTCGAGCTTTCTTCTCCTTGAGAATCTCCATGCCAAGAATTTTTTGAGCTTCACCCAACTTTTTCATTTTTAAATATTTGAAAAATTGGTTGTTCATCCTATCAACCTCAATTTGATTGACATATGTAATTCACATCTTATCATCATACAAAAGCAAGTAAATGAACTCGTCATTGGCCAACTTCTTGAAATATGCACAATAACTATACTAGCTCCTCGTGTACTCTTGTCCCCTCATGAATTGATCAATTTTTATACACCATTGTTATGGTGATTGCTTCAACCCATACAAAAACTTGTTCAGTTTGCAAACTAACTATTTTGATGCTCCATATCTAGGTGGTTGCAATATGTAGGTCTCCTCTTATAATTACATGTGTAGAAATGTAGTCTTCATATTGGAAAAAATTTTGCGTGCAGACGAGATAGATGCGGATTAGGTGCAGATTGGTGGTATTGTAGTGGTATTATTTTGCAATATCACCACAATACCACATGAATACCCCCAATCCACAACTACGATTTACGTACGCAATATTTCCTCCACATTGAGCTGTTTCAAGATCAGACTGTAATGTGCTACAAGTGCTGAGAGAGCATGAATTGAGGGATGCTTGAATACTGGAGAGAACACCTCCTCATAATCGATCCCTTCTCGTTGTGTAAATCCTTCTGTCATAAATCTTGTCTTATATCACATCACGTTGTCGAACGCACGAAGTATTACAGTTCACATCGTCATACGCAAGTCTAATTAATCGAACATAATATTTTCTCCACAACTAAAGGTTCACTTCAGGCTTAACATGTATCTGGCAAGTTTGAAGACAAGTAATGATGATTTATAGGTAGAGGAAAGGTTAGCAAAATGTTTTATAATTAGTTCGAAATACGGTATCGTTTAATTTGGTTTTTGTTATTCTAGTTCAACAATTTGTATTTTTATGAATGTGGGTGTAATGTTAAACTTATTAGTGGTAATGAATTTTAGGGGTGTTTTAGATTATAAATGTGTCAATTCAACATTATGTGGCATGTTATTAGGATTTTATATCAGAATATATCGTGTAATTATTAAATTTATTTTCAAATAAAAAAAATATAATTTTGTATAGATTTTCAAAATATTATATTCATTCATAAATCTTAATCCAATAATTTTGATAATATTTTGATTAAAAATTTATTTGAAAATTTTCACCCAAAATTCTCTCTCTCTCTCTCTCTCTCTCTCTCTCTCTCTCTCTCTCTCTCTCTCTCTCTCTCTCTCTCTCTCTCTCTCTCTCTCTCTCTCTCTCTCTCTCTCTCTCTCTCTCTCTCTCTCTCTCTCTCTCTCTCTCTCTCTCATCCCATCGAGAGAGAAGAGTCTCTCCTCGTCGCAAGCCGAAGCATCCCTCCTCGTCGCAGACAGAAGCTTCCCTCCTCGTCGTAGGCCGAAGTCTTGCTCGTCGCAGGCTGAAACTTCCTCTT